CCAGCGCTGCGTGGCCCTCGGAGGTGAACCGAGCTGTGAGGCGTCACGCCCTAACCGCATGCCGTGGGGAGAAACTGCCGGAGACCCAGGTGTGCGCGGTCTGGCCACGGGAAGGTGCCCCAGCGAGGCCTGGCTTGGAGCTTGTCCGGCTGGACAGATCCTGAATCACGGTTAAGGCCGGCGAGGGATTTGTCCAGAGAGACTGAAAGGCTGAGGGGAATTGCTCGGAGCCTAGCCCAGCAGCTGGAAGGTTAAGGACCGGTGGACTTGTTCAGGAAGTACGAATGCCGGGGCGCGGGAGACAAAGCCTCTGAGTGCGGCAGGACGGCCCAGAACAATGGTCATGCCAAGACCTCTGGGGAGATCTGTGATGGGCCAGGCCAGGGGCATCGCATGAGCTTCCTTGCACAACCGCCCCGTGCCTGAAACGGAGCTCCTTCGGGCAGTCGGTCAGGAATGCCAAGTGCAGCCGGATTCCTGGAGCACGGCATTTACTGCTCATGCAAATATCCACTGGGAAATTCCCCTGAAGCTGCTCTGCTCCGGGCTGCGATCCTAAACGGGTCTTGGGGAGACTCTTGAAGTCAGCAGGACTTAACTTTTTGAGGAAGCGCGGCGAGCTGTTGGCTGCAGCCTGGGTGTCTCCAGGCCGCTGTGCCAAACCACGGCCACCCCCCAAAGTCTCTGTGCCGTGGCGGGAAGCACCGGGCACGGCTGGCACAGCAGCTCCCGTGGGAGGCACAGGCCAGACCGCCACCATGGGGGCCCCGGCTGCCCCGGCCTCCTTCCGTGACCGGCGTAACTCTGCGGTGCGGTTCTCTGTGAAATGCTTTCCCCAGAACCGCAGGCAAGCCACGGCTGCGGTCCTTCAGGGCCGGCCCTTCCGACCTCATCTCTTCTGGCCGGGAAGGAGTCTTCCCGGAAGCAGGAATCACTTGATCGGCTTTGCCGAAAGAGCTGCTCCAGAGGAATTTCCACTCGTGCTCTTGCTCCACGGAAGAGTCCCTGCAACCCCCTGTGCCCCTCACTGAGGCAGGCACGACGCGTGTCCCCGTGGCACCCTTCTCGCATGGAAGGAGCCCCCACTTGTCCCGGGCATTTTGTGTGCCAGTTTAAGGTGACACCGGCTCTCCCGCGCCGCCACTCACTCCAGCGGCTCCGACATTCGCTGCTCTGTAAAGCCTTCGGAGAATCCGAGGCTCAAATCGCTCTGCTTGAGTGGCGAGCGGTTGGGAACTCCGGCTGTACAGCTGCTCACAGAACCTCCCCTGAGTTACTCTCTTCCAGTATGTGAAAGGTCTTGTGGAAGGAGCTCTCCCCCCCGCCTCTTTAATCTCCTGGAATATTGAAACCTTGAGAAGTGAAGGAACAAGGGGGTACTTTGTTATCTCGTGCCTGTTCTTGTTGGGCAGAGCGTGGCTTGTCTCGGCAACCTCCTTTATTCTGCAGCCCCTCCGACCAGGGGTTCCCAAACTTTTTCGGTCGCGGAACCTCTCTGAAGACCTTTGCTTTCTGCAGGGCCTGAGCTCTGTCCCTGATTTTTACTGAGCGTCGTGAACCCGCAGCATTCTGCCTTCTTTAATCTGTCCCTCTTGCCTGGGCATAACGTAGTAGGTTTGGAAATAAAGAGAAAGCATTTTAAATATAATGAATGAATAAATCCATTACATGGTAATATTCCAAATGAATTCATTTGATTATTCCCAACACTACACAATAGAGTCCTAAGAACCAAATGACGTGGTGCATTTCCTCCTTCGCTGCTTGGACACCAGCTGGCAATCGTGTGGTCCCATTTCAAAATCTCTTTTAATTTTGATTTTTGAGATTTTCTGCAGAACCCCTCCAAGGCTTTTGCAGAGCCCTAGGGTTCCGCGCAACACAGTTTGGGAACCGCTGCCTTGGACAGTTTCCCACTCTGCGGCGTCTGCAGCTTTCTGGCACATGGATGGGCCGTGGTGTGGGGAAGAGGGCCCCGCTCCGTGGGAGAGCACACGGGTCCACACAGCTGGGAAGGAACTCTTTCTAAAACCCCGGCGGGCCACTGTCGGTCCATGTCAGCAGGCCTGAGCTGGATACGCCAGTGGCCTGACTCAGCCCGGCCCAGCCCAGCCGCCGGCGTCCCGAGGAGTGAAATAGATGGCCCCGTCGCAGCTGTGCTGCCCCGACTCTCCCTTTCTGAAGGGGGAGCGCTTGCTGGGCCTGCGAGGAGCCTGCCGGGGCCGCGGGTCTGAACGCGGTGCTGTCACTGTGATGCTGCGCCCTGGCACCAGCGTTAAAGGGACTGAGGAGCAGAGATGCCAGCTCCACGGAGAGGAATGAAATGGAAGGATTTAAACGGAAAGGTCCAGCTTGGGGAAATGTCTGCATGCCAGATCGGCCGAAGTGACCGGATACTTAGGCAGCCCCCCCGGAGGTCGGCTTGTTTGCTACCGAAAGCCCCGTCAGAAAGGTTTTCCAGATGCATCTTCAGGTCCAGGAGCCTAAGCACTCGAACTAAATCAAAAGGCGGAATTGCATCAAAATGGCGGCCTTAGACCTGGCTGCCTAAAGAGCAAAGAAAACAGTGGCTGAGGAAACAGATTGTGAGCCAGAAATGTATTTCTTCACCCACAGGTTTCCTGGGTCACCTTGCGCAGGGCACTGTTAATTCCCCACATCGCCCGGCGTGCGGTCTGGCGCTTCTAGCGTCGGGCATCTTCTCGGCTTCCCTGGGACGCAAGGGTGGCCATTTGGAGGGCTTTAAAGGGGGATTGGACAATTGTGTGCAGGAGGAGGAGGAGGAGGAGGAAGGCTGCCAAATGCATCCAGTGCTGGGGAGCACAGGTCGGGGCAGCTGCCCTGCTCGTGGCCTCCCCCAGGCAGCAGGCCGGGCCAGGTCGCTCCGCGGCCTGATCCAGCACGGCCCTTCCTGCATTCTTCCCCCATGCCTGAGGACCTGGGGAGAGGCGTGCTGCATCCGGCTGGAGGGGGAGAGCCCTCTTCTGCGGTGGTTTCCTAGCAACTGGCGTTCGAAGGCACCGTGCCCGTGCTCCTGGAGGCGGCACATGGCCACCCGGGCTAGTGGCCACTCCCACCGGCGCGCAGCGTTTGGCTAGCTGTGCGGACTTGGGCGGGCAGCAGGCCTCGTCTTCGTTCGCCGTCCGTAGTCTGGGGCTCTGCCCTCGCCCCGAGGTGCCGGTGGCAGGGCCGGGAGCAGCCGCGCGCCCGTCGCTGGCCCTCCGCCCTGGCGTCGAGGGGCGTGCGGCCAGGCCGGAGCGGCGGTAGGCTGGCTGGCCCGGTCAGGCCCCCTCCCTTGGACCAGAAATCGTGGGGGAAGGGGGCACTGTGAGCTCACGGCCTGTCTTCTTTCTTTGCAAAGCTCTGCGACGACTCAAAGATGGAACATGACCTCATTATCGTTTGAGCTGAGAATAATTCCTCTAGTGATACAGCGTGTGCTGTCGCTTGTCGCCTCTTCCCACCCACCTGCCTCTTCAGCCTGCCTGCCTGCCTGCCTGCCGCCACTGCGCTGCGCTGGGCTGCAAAGGCAGAAATGCGCATTCGGTGGCATGTTAGTCCCCCTCCGGAGTGAGCATTAAGGCGTCTCATGGTGGCTTTTCCTGATGCCAAGGACACCGCGGGCAACAGCCGCTTCCAGAGTCCCTCATTTTTCATCTCAGCATGGCATATCCCTCCCCACAGTCAGCTTGGGAGAAGAGTGCCCGGTCGACTTCCACCTCCTGGGCTGGTGGTCTACACTGTCACCTTGGGCTAGAGGGGGAGGTGCCAGAGTAGTCGCTTCCAGCAGGTGCTTTGCTCAGCAAGACTGGCAAGTCGGCACGTGAGCAGAAGAACCCAGGTGGGAGGCCTGACTAAAAGCGAGCGTTCCCTGCCGGTCAGGAGCCTGCCACGGCCCGGCGTGTCTGGTGACGTGGACCTGCCCACGGCAAGAGAGTGGGCCGAATCCAGCATCTGCTGAGCCTCCCATGATGGCCAGCTGGATGGAGCGGGGGCAAGCAACTTGCTCCCCTCCAGGCATGTGGACCGGTCGGAACAGCTGGCGGTGGGGGATTGTGGGAGATGCTGTCCAAAGCATTTTCCCAGGAGCTGTGTTTCCTAGTTCCTGGTCCCCAGGCTCCCACCAGAAGGGTTCAAATCCCAGTTCCAGCATCAGAACCCCCGAAGAAGCAGGCATTATCTCTAATTGCAGGCACAATATTTTTAAAAGAAAGTTTACTGTGCAGTCATGGGCGAATTCCTCCTGGAATGGCTTCTGAATCGCTCCTGAATCTTATGAAGTCGGCGCGTCTGTGCGTGGAGGGTTGGGGGGGACTTGGATTTCTTAATGTTCTGCCAGATTAGAAACTGCTCAGATCCTGCATTTCTGGCTCCATTGCTATAGAAACAGCAGAGGAGTGGCTGGTTTCTCCGTTCTGCGGGTGGGTATTCTCCGCGTGGCCTGGCTGAACGGCAGGGTGGCTCTGCACGGGCGGGCCAAGGTGCACCGCTCCGGGACCGCGCGCCCGGCCAGCTGGCTGGTGGCGCTGGGGGAGCGCCCAGCTCTCGGCCTGGCTGGCCTGACGCGGCCTGCTCTGGCCGGCAGCCGCTCCCCACTTCAGGTGGCCCTGCCCCGGATGACTCGTGTGTATGTGATGCCTGCCGATGAACCTGGCACTCTGCCTGCGGGGTTTGGGGCGGCGGGACAGGGAAGGTGCCGCCAGCCAAAGCGAGGCCTTTCGCTGAGCGTGGTGCCTTATGGGCGCTGCCGAGGCGTCCGGAGGGCATGCATTGTCAACCGGGTGCCCTCCAGAGGCGTTGCACAGCAACATCTGCCTCGGCCAGAATGGAAGGCGGGAGCTGGTGTCCCGCAGAGGCCGCTGCCCTGAAGCTCGGCGTCTTCCGAGCCCCGGGGGCACGACTGGACTGGCCAGCCTAGGTGGGGCGGGGGCTGCCCGCGTTCCGCTGTTGCCCTCTAACACGCGCTTCCCCCCCCCCCCCCCCCCCGTGGTCCTTTGCAGTGATCCATGCTGAAGAGGCTGCATTCATTCCGATGAGCCCAGGGTCAGGGTGGCCCTTGCAAGCCAGATAGTGGGTTGGCCACCTGCCCGGCAGAATGCCATCCACCAACCGAGCGGGCAGCCTGAAGGACCCGGAAATCGCGGAACTCTTCTTCAAGGAAGACCCAGAGAAGCTCTTCACGGATCTCCGAGAGATCGGCCATGGAAGCTTTGGAGCGGTGTATTTTGTAAGAGGCCTGGGGTGGGGTGGGGTGGGCCATGCCGGTGTTTTGTCCTGGGGAGGACAAATTGGAGGCGTTTCTCAGAGAGGGAGCCGCTGCTGATAGGTCCGGGAGAGCCAGCGGGGCGGCACATGCCGGCGCAGAGGGGCCCTATTCTGGCAAGAGTCACCCACCAGGCCGACTGAGGCCAGGCTGGACCCCCCACGGTGCCCATGGCAGCCTTGCCGGTCCAGTAAGCAGGACCCACAGGCGGGCTGGCAGGGCAGTGCTGCGGGCACCTGCGGGGCATCTGCGGCCTCTGCCCCGGCGCTCGCTCCAGTGGGCAGGAGGGAGGCGGAGGCCTGGCCTGCAGGCCCACGGGGTCCCCCCTGCCAGGCAGGGCAGGTGAGGAGGCGGCCGCAGAGCAGGAGCAGCTGAGGGAACCCTTGCCCAGGGCCCTGGAAGCCTCAAACTGGCGCCAGGGAGCCGGGGAGGGAGGAGGGGCTCGCCTGCCACCTCGTCAGCTGGCCGCCCGGATCGCAAGGGCCCGGCTGCCTCCGCGGGAGGCGCGCCCTGACGCAGCTCGGCCTCCTCGTCCCGGCCGAGGACTGCCTCCGTGGGACAATGGCAGCCCTCACAAAAGCGGCCATTGTGCGGAGGCGGCGGCGGTGCTGGCTGGGCCGCGCACGGGCCCCCACACTCAGCTGGGCATTGTCTCGCGCAGCTGGGGGGGCCTTCCTGTTCGAGCCGTGCACCTGCCGGCGCAGCGCAGCCCGGAGGGTTGTGGGGAGGGCAGTGCGGGCTGCTGGCCAGCACCGCCCGGGGCCGCAACGCCGCATTCCCACGTTGGGGAGAGAGCTGGGGTGCGGCAGCCGGCTGCGGGCGGAGAGGATCCGGAAGCAGGGCCGCTTCCGGGCCTGGCACCCTCCCGGCCGCAGACGGTGGACCGCGGGGGCTGCGCAGTGTGCGGCAGGCTTCCCCGGGACCCGCCCGTGTGCCCGCTGGGGGCCGGGGCAGGGAGAGCAGCGAGGGGACGAGACGGCTGCCTTCCAGGCGGGCGAACGAGGCAAGAGCTCGGCGAGCTCGTGTGCAGCTGCTCTCTCCGGCCTCGGGCCTTGCTCGCACTCACGGAGCTCCGTCCTCCCGCCAAGAAGGCGCCCCCCCGCCTCCCCCCCCCCGCTGCATGTGCGTGGTGCTGGCCAGCCATGACATCATTCTGGCGCTCCACTCCAGGCTACCTGCAGCCTGCCAGTCATGCGGCGTCCGGGTGCCCCGTCTGCAGCATGAGCATCTCGTGCCTCCTCTCTGCTCGGTGACGGGCCGGCCTCCTCGGCCCCGGGGCACACTTCCCGGCCACAAGCCCCTTCAGGTGCTCCAGGCCCAGGGGGGGTGGATGGTGTGGGAGCCGCCCTCGGGAGCGCCTGCGCTGCGTGGGGGCCGCTGGGTCGGCAAGCGCACCCCCAGGAGGGTTCTCTGGCAGCCGCTCGCCAGAGCTGGGCCACAGCGGAGCCGGGGCGGCCCGTAGCCCGCGGCAGCGAGAGCGGGTCGCTGAGGCTTCGCGGTCTCTGGCGCAGGGGCTGCTTGGGGCAAGGGGCGTCCCGGAGCAGCCTTCCCTGGGGCGGCGCAGCCCGGTCGGGGCCCCAGGCGCCCCGGCTTTTGCCACTGGTCCCCTGGCAGGCCCTTTCCTTGGACCAGACCGGGGGAGGGGGGGCGCAGTCCCTTCCGAGCTCCTCCGGCCCCTCGTCCGGGCCCCACTGCCGGAACGGCGCCTCGCCGCGCTCGGGCTCGATGCGGCTGCACCTCCCGGGCGCGGAAGAGTGATGCGTGGCGTCTTCCCCTGTCGCAGGCACGTGACGTGCGCACCAACGAAGTGGTGGCCATCAAGAAGATGTCCTACAGTGGGAAGCAGTCCAACGAGGTAGGCGAGCCGCCCCGGCCTGTGCCGCCCCTGTGCCTGCCGCCAGCGCCGGCTGGTGCCGTCCGAATCGGTTTGCGCTTTGCCCGGAGGGGAAGACCGGGCCCGAATGAAGAGGCCTGGGCTCAGCACGTCGCCCGGGGAAAAGAGCTCCCCAGGTTTTTCGGCCCACGCTCCCCCAGTTCAGCCGCGAGCAGAACTCGTCATGCAAGGCGCAGGCCCGAGGGGAGCGTTCCTCCCTGGACACGCACACTGCTGGCGTGATGGCCAAGCCGCGCAGGCGTGGCGGAGGCGCTGGGGTGGGGAAATCCCCCAGCAGAGGGGGGCAGAGGGGTGGGGGTCCTGGTTTCATGGGTTCGGGCAAGCAGTAGGCATGAGGCCCGCTACTCCGGGGGCGGAGGTCACAAGGGGGAGGCATGAAGAGCGGAAGGGGTAGCTCTGATCCTACGCAGTAGGGTTTGCTCGCTCCCTGAGCTGTTCGGGGCTTTGAGCAGGCCTGCTCCCCTCTCGGTTTCCGTGGGTATTTGATCATCATGAGGACTAGAAGTGTGCCTTTCAAAGTAAAACAAAGCCCGCTCCTGTTCTCAGAAGAGTTTAAGCACCAGCCTCAAGCTCGCCCACCCTTGGCCAGGCGCAGCACGAAATCCACTCGCCGGTCAAGTACCGATCTGGGGCGGAGGGGAGGGGAGGCGGGCTGGGTTTTGTGTGCCGAGGGGCTGAGGCATCCCGAAACATCCCGTTGCGGCACTCCCTGGTGCCCCTCTCCTGGCGGCAGGTTGAGGACCGGGTGCCTGCCTCCTCCTCGGCGGCAGGTGGGGCAGCGCCTGTGTCCGGCCTGCCCCAGCCCTGTCTTCCGAGGACCGGCCCCACACGGGGAGCTTGGGAACTGAGGTCCCGTTTCCCCAGGGCTCAAGCCCTCGCCTTTCATTCTGCCGAAGGAGCGAGGCGCCTCTCGTCTTAACGGGGTGGCGAGGACGGTCTAATTGGTATCTGCTGCTTCTGCTTCCCGCGTAAGTGGCACCGTTTCCGCATTCAGCTTGATAAGGTCACTCCTTTTACCCCTCCCCTTCCTCTCTCTTGTAGAAGTGGCAGGATATCATTAAAGAAGTCAAGTTCCTGCAAAGGATTCAGCATCCAAACAGTATAGAATACAAAGGCTGCTATTTGCGGGAGCACACGGCCTGGGTGAGAGACAGGCGCCGTGCGTGCGCACGTTTGCGGGGTGGGGAAGGCAGCGTGCGGCGGCGAGGGGGGCGTGGGTCCACGCTGGTGGGTCAGGTTAGAGGCCGCACTTTCCCCGGGGATGCTTGCCCTGCAGTGGAGAAGGCAAAGGCGGGGAGGGCCAGTGGCCCCGGCGGAATGGACGGAGGAGCCGTTCTCCCGCGGGAGAATTCGGGCAGGGGCCCCGTTTTGGGGGGGGGGCTGGTGTACGTGTGTGGGCATCACAGCCGCCGCAAGACGCCGGTAACGGGTCATTTTCCCTCTCCCCCGCGCAGCTTGTCATGGAATACTGTCTAGGTTCGGCATCAGATTTATTAGAAGGTACGTCCGCTCCGCTTGCCCGGCCGGCGAGCATTCTTGCGCCACGTGTGGGGGAAGCAGGGTCCCTGGGGCGCAGCGGGGGCCCCCCGTCCAGAGCCTGGCGGAGTCTCCCTGCATTCGTGTTCTGGCACGCATGCCTCCCTTCGCCCCAGGCCGCTTCTCGTGGCTCCGGCCACAGCTTCGTGGCTCCCTCCCCGGGGCGTCTCTGCCCCACGCGGCCCTGTCGCCCGCCTGGGTGCCGGCCGGCCTGGTCGTCCCGGAAGCCCTGCTGTGCGGCCGGCATGTCGGGCTTGCCAGTCCGGAGGCCGATCTTCGGGGTGGTACTTGCGCACGAAACGGCATGTTAGCTCGGCGGCTTCCCGGGGGCTTACCCAGCGAACACCCGGGCCACCCGGTCCCACCGTCCCTCCCCGCCAGCCCTTCCCGGCCTGGTGCCCCGAAATGCATCGGACCGCATCTGCCGTTCCCCGGCTGGGGACTTTGGGTGTCACGGACCGGTCCACCTGGCGGGCTCCAGGTCTCGCGAGGCCGCTCGGCGCGCCGCCTGCCGCCCAGGACCCGCCAAGTCCCCCGTTTGCTAGCTGAGCTTCTCTTTCCTCAAGTCCACAAGAAGCCGTTGCAGGAGATCGAAATCGCCGCAATTACACACGGCGCACTCCAAGGTTTAGCATATTTGCATTCCCACAACTTGATCCATAGGTGAGTCCTGCTGCGCGGCGTTCCGAATTGCGGCCGCTTGGATTTCCTGGGTTCCTCGGGTCCTGCTTATTAGCACTAGCCCGCCTTGCCCCTTGGGCGGTGGCTTCCGCTTTCGCTTGCCCAGAGCACAGGGAGCCTGCAGCGGGCAGCCAGCGTAGCGGGTCAGGCCGGCAGAGGGGAGAAAGCGACATACGCACCCCGGGAGTACTAAGGCTGTGCTTTGCGCAGGCCTAGGGCCTCCTCACGAGGGCGGAAGAAACCCCTCGGTAAACTTTTGGCCAGTGGGCGGAAGAGGCACGTTTCACTTCTGGGAATTTCCCCTGCAAGCGCATGTAGCTCCGAAGGTTGGCTAAAATAAAGCTGCTAGTGAGGAGGAGGAGGAGGAAGAGGAGGAAAACGCGAAGCCTATGCAGCCAGCTCTGCTGCCAGCCCAGGGGCCCCTGCTGCGTTGCGACCGGCAGCTTGATATCCTGCCGTCTCGCTGGGCGTGTCTTTCCTGTCTCGGCCCTCCCATTCAGCCCGTCCTCACGCGCTGCAGCCCCTCTTTTGGTATCCCGTCCTTTGCAGGGTCTCCGCTAGAGCACAGCAGGCACGGGTGGCACACGCCCCCGCCTCCAGCAGCCCCCCTTCGCTTGGGGACCTGCTCTGTCAGGCCACCTCTTCGATATTTGGGACAACACGGCGGCTTGCGCTTGACTTGCCGGGGCGAGCAAGCAAGCGAGCGAGCGCCCTGCCTCCTCGTGGCTGCACCGTAACTGCGTTTCTCTCGTTCCCAGAGATATCAAGGCAGGGAATATCCTGCTCACGGAACCGGGCCAGGTGAAGCTTGCGGACTTCGGCTCTGCTTCCATAGCCTCTCCGGCCAATTCCTTTGTGGGGACGCCATATTGGTAAGCCTGTGTCTGGCGGGGTTCTCCCCGGAGGCCGTCGGGACGAGGGTGGGCTGGGGCTTATTCGGCGCGTGTCTTTCCAAGGTTGCACGCCTCGAGTAACCAGTGGGGAAAGGGAAGACTTGTGGAGGAAGAACCCGGCAAGAGTCCTGCTGGAGCGAAGTCGCGGGCGGCTCTGTTCGGTTCTGCTCTTGCGACAGGGACAGGAGAACATCCGAGCACACGCTTGCCCCGTGTGTTCATTTCAAGTGGCGGAGTGTGGAGGCCCCTTGGACCAGGGAGACGGCCCCAGGTCTCCCTCCGTCTCGGCCAGCCTTGCCTCGTCCCTGCAGCCACACCGGGCGGAACTGCCGGGCTGAGCCGCTCCGTTTTTGCTCCCCAGGATGGCCCCAGAAGTGATTTTGGCCATGGATGAAGGGCAGTACGATGGCAAGGTGGACGTCTGGTCCCTGGGAATAACCTGCATTGAGCTGGGTAAGACGTGTCCCACATGCACCCGTCCCTCTGCCAGGGCTCCCACCTCGCCCGGGCATTTTGCAGCCCCCTCAGAAGTGGCCTCCTGGGCTTCTGCAGGAGGAAAAGTGCTTCCCCAACTCGTAGAATCACCCCAGTTCTTGGTGCATGCCATGTGTCCCGCAGGCAGCGAAGGGCTTCCTGTACCTCCTAGTCCAGTGATGGCGAACCTTTTCGAGACCGAGTGCCCAAAGTGCAGCACAAAACCCACTTATTTATCGCAAAGCGCCAACACTGCAATGAAACCTGAAAACTGAGATTTTAGTTTAGAAAAAACACCTCACAGCCAGTCCAAGCAAATATATACTCGCATTTATCCTGAGCAGTGCACTGATCAGCCATGCGAAAACTCGGACGAGTGGCGGCTAATGAGTCACGGCTCGTGGCCTCGTGGCCTGGCGCCACTATTCCTTTCCGAGCGTGCGCATGGCCCCTGTGTGCGCTGTTGTCCGATGCTCGGCGGCTGGCGCGATCCTGGAGCGACTTGCTCGCGTGCCCGCTGGGGCACATGTGCCCCAGGTTCGCCACCACTGGCCTAACCCGACCCTTGTGCACACCTCTAACCCTAATATGGCGGTAAAGTTCCATTGAAAAGAGGGTGATTTTGAAAAAGCCCTCCTTGAGTAGGTTTTTCTGCGCAGCTCATCCTTTCTGCCCATTCTAAACACATTCCAACCATCAGGATCGCTCCAGGACCCCTCGTTTTTCTAACCCTAACCCTACCCTGGTGCACACCCCTAACCCTAATATGGGGGTAAAGTTCCA